TCGTCGTCGTCGTCGTCGTCGTCGTCGTCGTCGTCGTCGCGTCGTCGTGGTCGTCGTCGTCGTCGTCGTATTCGTCGTCGTCGTCGTCGTCGTCGTATTCGTCGTCGTATTCGTCGTCGTCGTCGTCGTCGTCGTCGTCGTCGTCGTCGTCGTCGTCGTCGTATTCGTCGTCGTCGTCGTCGTCGTCATCGTCGCCACTCTCCCCTTTGCCCTGGGCCCTGCTCCTTAAGCGCGCCAGCCATAGCGGAAAAGCCTAAGCGAAATTACGCAGCCTCGTATTAAATCGAAAGGAAGCCCCTTCTCTGGGATCCCTCCCAACCCGGGAGGGGTAGCGGGGGGGGTCTGGTGGGGGTCCTGGGTGAACATGCCATCTCTCCCCGCGGGGGTCCAGGGGCCCAAGAAACCCTCCAGAGGCCCCCACCAGGCCCCCAGGCGCCCCCAAGAAACCCCAGGCGCCCCCGGGCGAGGAAGCCCCGAAGGCTCTCAAGACACCCTGAAAATTAGCCCGCAGCGGCCCTGGAGAACGCTCCGACGAGACTTCAAGAAGCATCTGGGCCCTCCTCCCCTCCGGCTGCAGACCAGCCAACGCGAAATGGAGGGAGCAACGTCGCAGTTGAGTCGAAGTGGCGCCCCTTCCCTGGGATCCCTTCTCAGCCAGGGGGGGGTGGAGGGGTAGGGCTGGGGGCTCTGGGGTGGGGGGGGGGTCATAGGGAGCTCCACCGAAGGCGCCAGTGGCAGGGTTCGCATGGCGGCCTCGGGCCATTTCGGCGCACCCTCACGAGGATCGTGGCCGCATAGGGAGCTCCCAAAAATTCGCGGAGACTCTTGGGCACCTCTTGGGAGCCCCGTGGGCCTCGCGCAGCCTCTTGAGCACTCGTGGGAGCCTCTGATTCCGACCTTGTCTCTTCGATCGTAGGGGGTCGTCGTCCAGGGTCGGCGGCACTGGCCGCAAGGCCTTAGCAATATATATATATATATATATATATATATATATATATGCATATACATATATATATATGTATATATACACAATATGTACACAAACACCCGCTGACGATTGTTCCCTGCGCCTTCAAGGGAGGTTGGGTGCGTATAAATTCGCTGGCTCGCAATGGTAATCCTCGTCGTCCAACTTTCGGGGCATAACTCGCATCTCCAGCGGACGTTCGGGGCGATCCGGGCACCACCGGAGCGCTCTCGGCGAGGCGCAGCTGCTGCTGGAAAGCCTCCAGGATCCTTCCCCCCTCCTCCTGCCGGACCAAGAGTCTGGAGAAAGCCTCAAGGATACCCTCCCTGAGATCCGACGTTGCAAAAAACATGTAACATCACAAACAGTCGCGACCGGACCCCTGGACCCCATCTTTCTGCGTCTCTTGTCGAAGCGGATCGATATGTGAAGGTCCCGGGGCCCTCAACTTTGGAGCGAAAGCGCCCAGCCCGAAACAATGGAGCCGCCAGGATCTCAGGCTCCTCCTGCCGGGCCAGGATCCTGGAGATAGCCTCGAGGAGGCCCTCTCGCCCCCAGGGCCCCGCCGAGGGCGAGAGGAGGAGGCGGCCGCCGCGCCGCCCAAAACTCGCCAGGCCGACCCCGAGGAACTCCCGGACCTCGCGGGCGAGAGCGGCTCGGCTCATCCACCTCCTGCCGCCTCTACTCTCCGGCCCCTCCTCCTCCTCCTCCTCCTCCTCCTCCTCCTCCTCCCGCCTTCTCCTCCTCCTCCTCCTCCTGCTCCTCCTCCTCTTCCTCCTCCTGCTCCTCCTCTTCCGCCTCCCGGGCTCCGTCCTTTCTCACGTCACGCTCGTTCTCATCGTCGTCTTCTTCTGCGCTCGTTCCGTTCATGACTTAAACGATGCTCTGGCTGGGGCAACACAGCTTGAAACGCAGCTCCTAACAGTGCTGCCAGCACCGCGGAGCAAAGCATACGCATGTCGAACACTGTCTCGCTTCGAAAGAGCAGGCCCGAGGCCCGCAAAACGCGCCATATAGCAGTCAAAAGGAACGAGCACATGCATGGTCGTTGCTTCGAGCGGCCTAGAATTCCAATGTATCACGATGTATGGACTGACTGTCCGCCATTGATGTATGTTAATGACATCCGCCAGCCCCCGTTTCAATGGGCTGCGGGAATGAGGCTTGCTGCTCCCTGCAGTTTCAAGCCTCCCATGTTTATAGTACTACGTTCTATTTCCGATAGTGAACTGTTGGATTCTGCGAGAGGGGGGGAGCCCCAAACCAGCTTTCACAACGCACAAATCGCGCTGCCTAAATTCATGCGGGGCCGTGTGACACATACAACAAATTAGAATCGCGCTCCCGAGGCTACGATCCCTCTCAAATTACGCCGTATCCGCGTCCCCGAAGCGACGTCCATCGTAACTTACGCAATTGTCGTGTCGCCGAAGCCACGGACATCTGCAAATGACGCAACATTCGCGTCGCGTCCCCGCCGAAGCCACAATCACTTACGACGTGCTCAATGCTCGCGCTCCCGAGGCCACGATCCCTTGCAAATTATGAAATATTCGCGGCCCGCGGTCACGATTTTGAAATTACTAAATGTTCGCGCCCCCGAAGCAACGATCGCTTGTACATTACTCTCAGTTCGCGTTCCCGAGGCCCCGACGCTTCCTAAATTAGACAATATCCGCGTCCCCGAGGCCACGACCCTTTGAAGGTACGCCATGTCCGCGCCCACGATCCCTTGTAAATTACATCATGCTCGCATCCCTGAAACGACGGTCCCTTTCGTCAATCACGCGATGCTCACGTCCCCAAGGCCGCGAACCCTCGTAAATTATGAAATGCTCGTGCCCCCAAAGCCACGATCCCCATCAAGTTACACCATGCTCGCGTTTCCGAGGCCACGACCCCGAGTAAGATATGCAAGAGCCACGTCCCCGAGGCCCCGACCGCTTGCAAATTATGCTGCGCTCGCGCCCCTGCGGCCACGATCCCTGTTGAAGTTAAAAAATCTTCGCGCCCCCCGGGGCCACGATCCCGTGCAACGCATGCAAGGTTCGCGCCCCCGATGCCACGACCCCACGACCCCCCATTAAATTATGCCATCCCAGAGGCTGCGATCCCTTCGCAAACTGCAGAATATTCGCTTCCCCGAGGCCACGGCCGCGTTCCCGAGGCCACGACGCTTCCTAAATTAGACAATATCCGCGTCCCCGAGGCCGCGACCCTTTGAAGGTACGCCATGTCCGCGCCCACGATCCCTTGTAAATTACATCATGCTCGCATCCCTGAAACGACGGTCCCTTTCGTCAATCACGCGATGCTCACGTCCCCAAGGCCGCGAACCCTCGTAAATTATGAAATGCTCGTGCCCCCAAAGCCACGATCCCCATCAAGTTACACCATGCTCGCGTTTCCGAGGCCACGACCCCGAGTAAGATATGCAAGAGCCACGTCCCCGAGGCCCCGACCGCTTGCAAATTATGCTGCGCTCGCGCCCCTGCGGCCACGATCCCTGTTGAAGTTAAAAAATCTTCGCGCCCCCCGGGGCCACGATCCCGTGCAACGCATGCAAGGTTCGCGCCCCCGATGCCACGACCCCACGACCCCCCATTAAATCATGCCATCCCAGAGGCTGCGATCCCTTCGCAAACTGCAGAATATTCGCTTCCCCGAGGCCACGGCCGCTTGTAAATTACACCGTGTTCGCGGCCCCGAGACCACAACGCTTGGTAAATAACACAATGTTCGCGCCGAGACCACGCGATCTAGCGAATTACGCCGTACTCGCGCCCCGAGGCAACGATTCCTAATACGTTGCTTCACGTTTGGATCCCCGAAGCCATGGTTCCTTGCAAAAATTGCCGGAGAACCCAAAGACCGTCCAAGCCGCTCCAGTTGCCCAACGTAGCCTCAAGCAGTCCAGTCGTCGTTCCAAGGGGGTCTCCTGTACACAGCCTGAGGGGAAGTTCGGACAAGGTAATACAGAGCTCAACAATATCATCTAGATCCCAATGTGACCTGAAGGTTAACAATCGTCCTCGGTGCCGATGATGCTTCACGACGAAGCCCAAGCATCCAAACATAGCCCCTGCATGTTCCATTATGGCAGAGAGGGGACTGGCGGCAAAGGGCGACGCCCTTACGGATACGGTGTGTTGGCGTCTGTTCTTTTTGCTCCTCCTCCTCGTCCTCCTCCTCCTCCTCCTCCTCCTCCTCCTCCTCCCGTCCGCCCTCTCTCCCTCCCTCCCTCCCTCCCTCTCTACCTCCCTCCCTCCCTTCCTCCGTCCCTCCTCCCTCCTCCATTATCCTTCTTCCTCCTCCTCCTCCTCCTCATCCTCCTCAAAGTGAGCGGGAGTACGGCGAAGCTAGGACCAGGACGAAATCGAACCAGCACAGTCGGGGACATCTGATATCCAACGGTTCTGGAGGACTGATCGGGCGCGGCGGCTTTTCCAGAGCGCTGCGCGGCTGTTCTGGAGCGCTTCGCAACGATCTGAAGAGCGTTCTGGATTGCTCTAAACCGATGTATCCCGGTCCTGGCCCCCGCTGACTTCGGATCCGCCGTACCTTCAGGCGACTTCGCAAGTGGAGCGGAAATCGCCGCCCTGCTTTTCAAGCTCCTGTGAGATAGATTTCCGCACTGCGTTGCCATCGCTGCTTCCACCATGCCTTTTTTCTGAAATATCCGCCCTTCCTCTCTGAGGCAAGGCTGTCTGCCCTTCTTTCTCATCGTTTGGTATACATGTCAGACACTGTTCTGAATCGAAAAATCAAACAACAAAGACGGCAGATCCGAAGACTGGGGAAACCGAAAGGTACCGATACCGCTACTCCCCAGACCTCTCCCGGGGTGCGTTCTGACGACGATTTCGAGGCGAATCCAGCGGCGGAGGCGGGGGCGTCCCAGGGAGGCCCGAGAAGGGGAAAACGAGGGAAGGGTAGCGGTATGGGTGCCTTCTCCTCCTTCGGAGTGCTGGGCCGCTCGAGGCGAGGAACGGCCAGGAGACCGCCGCGTGTCTCGACACGACCGGGTCGCTCATCACCTCGTCAAGGTACGCCTCGCGCGCAGGCCGACGGTCCTCCCCGTCCTCCTCCTCCTCCTCCTCATCCTCCTCCTTCTTCTCCTCCTTCTTCTCCTCCTCCTCCTCCTTTTTCTCCTCCTTCTTCTCCTCCTTCTCAGTATTATTATCCTCCTTATTCTCCTCGTCGTTCTTCTCCTCCTCCTCTTCCTCCTCCTCCTCATCCTCCTCGCGGTTCGCTCCCGGAGCTCCTCACTCCTCCTGCCCCTCGTTGCTCCTCGCTTCTCCTCCTCCACCTCCTCCACCTCTTTCTCGTCGCTCCTCCTGGTTCTCCTCCTCCTGGTTCTCGTCCTGGTTCTCCTCCTGATTCTCCTGGTTCTCCTCCTGGTTCTCCTCCTGGTTCTCCTCCTGGTTCTCCTCCTGGTCCTCGTCTTTCCTCCTGGTTCTCCTCCTCCTCCTCCTCCTCCTCCTGGTCCTGGTTCTCCTCCTTCTCCTCCTCCTCTTCGCTCCTCCTCCTCCTCCTCCTCCTCCTCCTCCTCCTCCTCCTCCTCCTCCTCCTCCCACACGCTCTTCCTCCTCCTGCTCCTCATCCACCTCGCTCATCCTCCTCCTCCTGCCCCCCCTCGCTCCTCCTCCTCCTCCTCCTCCTCCTCCTCCTCCTCGCTCCTCCTCCTCCTCCTCCTCCTCCTCCTCCTCGCTCCTCCATCTCGACCCCGTCTGTCGGGGGCCGCCGAGCTCTGCGATGAGGGAAAGCCGCAAGTAATCTCTGTAGGCCGCGTGTCCTTGGCCTCATTGGAGCACATGCCATCCATGCATTGAAGTCACTTCGACCCCGACTTGCACACTGCGAAGTAGTCCCTTCGCCAGCCTGATCACACGGGATCAACACCACCCAAGATGTCATGCAGAACCCTGGGGCCTTGACCGCAACGCCGCCCGCCCTTCCCGCCCTGACGGCTCCGCCGCGCCCCTCCCGCCACGCCTCGCCCCCATTTGTTTTGGATCTCCTCGCTCTCTCTCTCCCTCTCTTTCTCTGTCTCTGTCTTTCTCCCTGTCTCTCGTCCCGCCTCTTCCCCCCCCCGCCCTCCCCCTCGCTCCCTCTTGTTCGATGTCTCCCTCTCTCTCTCTCTCTCTTTCTCACCATCTCTCTCTCTATCTCTCTCGCCCACTCTCTCTCTCTCTCTTTCTCTCTCCCTCTCTCAATGTTTATACACAGAGTCATCGATTTAAATCATAAACAAGCTCTCCATGCCATTTTGTATACGCTATGCAAGCCAAACGGCCGTGGGAAACAAGTATCGATCCCCACAGCGTCATCCGTAACACTCAACGCAATTCATGGATCCACGAGGGGGGGTGGAACCGCAAAGCGATATCGTCAGCACCACGACACATGCCCCAGCGGCGACGCATGGGTGATGCAGGGGGGGAAAGCTTCCTATGCGGAGGCTGCTTCGTTGAAGGCGCCGGCCCTGCATCTACAGAGACGGCCCGCGCCTTCTAAGGAGCAGGGGTGCTTCTAAGAAGCCTTCGCAGCCCCCCCTACCCCCCCTGGCCCCCCGCAGCGCGCGGTCTATCGCCGGCCCGCACCGAGCCGCCCCGATGCGATTGGCCAGATCGCCTCGGCCCAGGGCTCCCGCTGCACGCGCCGGCTGGATTGAGCCTGCGGTTCCAGGAGGAGCATCCTCAGAAAGGGTAGTTTAACACGACGAGGATCTGCCACCGTGCCGCCAGGCACCGAGCGGAGCGTCTTCAGGGCATTTTTCGGCGGCGAGCCTCAGGGAGAACTGAGAAGCCGGCTGCATGCAGGAGAGACCCTGGGTAAGAGTGACCTTTGGTGCGCGACTTTGGGGGGCCGCGGGGGGGGGTCAAACACAAGCGCGCAAGACGCCACTATCGCACCGCGTTCGGCGATCGGGTGACCCCGGTGGGCCCTCACCAAAGGTCACTCTGGCGAAGGGTCACTCTTACGTGTAGTCGAAGAATGGGATGGGGGCGGGCCTTCTGAGAAGTTTCCTTCGCCTTCCCAGAAGGCGCGAGGGCTTCTGAGGAGTCCCGCCGCCTTCTGAGAAGGTTTTCGCCTTCTCATTTCCCCCCTCGCTCGCCGCCGACATTTGGCGCTGGCGTGCGTTGGAGCGCCACTGGGCTCCCGCTGGATGGCTTGAGCACGTCTGGGGGCTCAGGCCTGCAGGACACCCCAAACGCACGTCAAGGGGCGCAACCAACATGGTCGGTCAAGCCGAAACTGATGCAACACACCCGGCGTCAAACCAAAACCTTGGACACAAACGAGGGGATGGACCTTTGTGGGCCCCCGAAACGACAGGGCCGTTTTTCACCGTTTCAAAAAAAGTGCCCCTTGAAAACGGAAACGGCAAAAAAACGGCGACCCGAAACGGCAAAAAAACAGCTCCAGGATTGGAACCAGAGCTGGAACCGGTTAAAAACGGCGACGGAACCGGTAAAAAAACGGCGTCGGAACCGGCAAAACAACGGCCGAACGGAACCGGTAAAAAACGGCCCTGTCGTTTCCAGGGCCCGCTAAGGGGTGGACGTTGCACACCTTCGTCGGCTTCACCGGCGAGGCGCTTGACCACCTCGACGTCACATGCTCGGCCCTGCAGAGGAAGGTGCTCTCTCTTTGACCCTCGGCCCTGCTCAGTGGATGGCCGCAGGAGGGCCACGTCGGCCGGGCGCGCGGACTTCGGAGGATCCTTGCCCTCCGAGGGGCCTGGTCAGACCAGGCGGGGGGAGCCACCTCGGCGGACCACTGGGCGATCCTCCTCCTCCTCCTCCTCCTCCTCCTCCTCCTCCTCCTCCTCCTCCTCCTCTTCATCGTCCTCTCCTCCTCCTACTACGTCCCCTCCTCCTCCTCCTCCTCCTCCTACTACGTCACCTCCTCCTCCTCCTCCTCCTCCGCGGCTCCAGCTCACGCCAACGGTGGCGAGGGCGAGCCGAACATCGTCGATCGGACCTGCGGTGGGCACCCGCAGAGGGCGGCGGGCTCCTGCAGCTCCCGGTGCCGGTGGTCGCAGAACACGCCTTAGCGAGCCAGCCGCCCCTCTCGACAAAAACGATCGCGCGCTCCTCCTCCTCCTCCTCCTCCTCCTCCTCGTCGTCCTCCTCCTCCTCCTCCTACTCCTCCTCCACCTCCTCCTCCTCATCCTCCTCCTCCTCGCATGGATTCGCGGCGTCTTGTGCTGACACTGTTTTTCTTCTCCTCTTGTGGTTTCGAGGCGTCTTGGGCTTACGTACAGTGCTCCACCTCCTCCTCCTCCTCCTCCTCCTCCTCCTCCTCCTCCTCCTCCTCCTCCTACTCGTCCTCGTCCTCGTCCCGTCGCTGAGCGTCCCAAGCTGAAAAAGACAGTTCTCGTGTTTGGAGGGAAGATACGGGGCACGGCTGTGCAATGAGCGCCTTCCACAAACGCGGCAGCATGGATGACATGACCGCGTCTCCCAACCCCGTCCCCCCAACACGACAACCGTCTTTTCTGACAGGGCGACGTCGAGACGAGAGGAGATGCACCGGCTCCTGAAACCCTGGCCAATTAAAACAAACAAACAGATCTCTCGGGGGACTACGCTTTGCTTCCGCCGCGTCCCACCGAGCTTCTGCGGGCAGAGGCGCCCTCGTGTCACGTCCGCCAGCCTTCCGCCCGGGAAGAGATGTGAGCCCCTTCGATCTCTCGAGGGCGAGGCCCATGCTGTGGCGCTTTTTTTTGTGAGGATGGTGCAGAAGACGACGATCGAGACCTGCTCCTCGACGAGGGGTACGGGCCGAACGGACGACGGTGAACGCCCTGCCGTAGCTGATGGGCTTGCTTTCCACCACCACCACAAGTTGGAGGGGGATAGGGGGTCCTCCTCCTCCTCCTCCTTCTCCTCCTCCTCCTCATCATCCTCCTCATCCTGCACCTCCTTCTCCTCCTCCTCGTCCTCCTCCTCCTTCCCACCTCCAACTTATGGTAGTGGTGGTGGTGGTGGTGGTGGTGGAAAACAGGCCCACCAGTAGCACACCAGATCTGGCCACGTGCCTTTCCCAAGGCGCGCTCACCCTCAGCGTATCGGCGCCAAGCTGCCTTGCTCCGTCCTTTCTTCGTCTGCTGCGCTCCCTCCTCCCCATGTTTCGGATTCCACCACGCTCGTTCCCTCTTGCCTCGTCCCTTTCTCCCTCGCCCTTCCTCTCACCCCTCGCCTTCTTCTTTCGCCTCCAATTCTGCGTGGTATCATATCTGCCATAGCCGCCAGGAGTGTATGATCGTGCGCATCATCATCACCATCGTTACCGCTGTTGTCAGTGTCACCCTCAACCTTCGGATTGCCGTTGTCGTTGTCATCGTGGCCGTGCTCAAATGTCCGTGCCTGAAGCATTCCAACATTTGCCCCACGACCCGGTCAAAGAGCAGGCGGGACGCCGAAAACTGGAACAATTCGAGATCCAGTCGAAACGGCACAAGCGAGGGACAGGAGTAATCCAAAAGCCGGAATAAGGTGACAATGTGTCTTTTGGCCCCCCCTCTGTGGGAGAAGGGCTCCCTCCAACAAGCCCACTGTGAGAGAAGGGCTCGTTCTGTGAGATGTATGTCTGGAGGCGATCGAGTCTCCAGGGGTGAGGAGGGGTGGGGTCTCCCAGGGCCATCCTGGGGCCGTCTCAGGCCATGGGGGAGCAGAGCGGGGGGGGGCGACCACGAGCGAGCGAACGACGACCACAAACAGTGAATACACTGGGCCCTGAGCTGCAGAACGCAACTGTGCAGACTAGGGTGCTCTGGGCCGAGGGGGGGGGGGGGCGGGAGGGAGAGAGCCATCGGCCAGGTGGAAAGGCGACGAAGAGGGCCCGTGCCAGGGGGGGGGGGGGAGGCCGGGGCTCAGGAGTCCCCCGGGGGGCGAGGCCACGGAGGGGGGGCCAAGGGGGAGAGAGAGCCACGACGGGCCACGCACGGCGACGAACCACGGACCACGAAACAAGCAAGGGATCCGGGCGAGGGGGGCCCGGGGGGCCCAGGGGGGCCAGGGGGCCCTGGGAAGCTGGCAGGGGAGAGGCCATGGGGGGACGCATGGGGCAGGGGCAAAGGCGAGAGGGGAGAGAGCTGGCCGCGGACGACGACCGCGAACGGCGGAAAGAAAAGGGTCCGGGCGATCGGCGTGAGGGGGGGATCGGCCAAGGCAAGAACGACGACGAGCCAAGAGCCACGAACATGCAGGGCTCCGAGCTCTAGAACACAGCTCCGCAAGACAGTGCTAAGTCGGGCGTGTCCCTTTACAGAGGGAGTATTCAAAAATAGTAAAAAATAGTCAGGGGACGATTTGTTTCACTATTTCCGAACATTTGGGGGGTAGTTTTGGAGTATTTTTCATTTTTCGCCCAAAATCCCCCTGTAGGGGGACACGCCCGACTTAGATATAGTGATGGGGTCTGAGCGAGGGGGGCCGAGACAAGGGGGGCCCCGGAGTCCCAGCGGGGCACGGCGGGGCCCGTCCTTCCCTCCTCCTCCTCCTCCTCCTCCTCCTCCTCCTCCTCCTCCTCCTCTTCGCAATCCCTTTTCTCACTTCATCCCCGTCCTTCTCCATGCGCCGGAACAGGTAATTAGCCCCCAATCACCCCCACGTCCCAAATCCTCTTGAACGCCTCCTTACTGGAAATGCCGAACGCCGAACGCTTAGCGGGCGAAGCGTTCAGCGCTTGACTCGGGTTTTTGGTCGTTCCTCGGCGGCCCGTCATGCCTCTCGGGGGTCCTTTTCGGGCTTCCCTTCGTCTCTCCCTCCCCTCCCCTCTCCCTTCCTGCCACGTGCTCTCTCGCTGTCCGGGCACGAACTCGCAGAGGCGTAGGTTCTGGCCGGCGAGGAACGCATAACCCCCTGAGTCGCGGGAAGCGTGCGCGCGAGCTCTCCTGAGTGTGCGTCCAGGGGGCGCCGGCCACGCAGAGGCAAGCCTCCTGGGAGCCCACATCGAGAGTTGCGCGACCGAGTTCTGGGCCACCCGACCGTGCTGAGACAGGATTGCAATTTCCCTTCTCCCTGGGTGACCCCCTCCCCCTCCGTCCTCCGAAGGTCTCGCAGCTGCGTGCTGCGCTGACATGAGGCGGCTGGGGGTCGGGCGGGGGTCCCTGTCGAGGTGGGTTCCCTTTGGGTCCCCCTCCCATGCCTTCCCCATCCTCGCATTTGTCCCTGGGTGGAGTCGGGTGCCCGTCTCCGGAGCGCAAGGTGGCGAGTCTTCTCACCCCCGCGCCCCGGGGGGGGCCCCCCTCCTCCGGGGAGCGTGCTGCGGAAGCCGCCGTCGGTAGCCAGCTAGGCTATGTAGCTCCTCCGCTGTCGAGGGAGGCCTGCCCGAGGCCTCAACATGCCTGCAGACCTGGGGGCCTCACCAACCTCTCCTCCTCCTCCTCCTCCACCTCCTCCTCCTCCTCCGCCTCCTGCTCCTCCTCATCCTCCTCCTCATCCGCCACCTCCTCCTCCTCGCAATCCCTTCTCTTTCTTCATCCCATCCTTCTCCATGCGCCGGAACAGGTAGCCTCCAACCCCCCCCCCACGTCCCAAACCCTCTTGAACGCCTCCTTACTGGCAATGCCTCGCAATCTATCACCACCCCCCGACCCTCGCCTCACAACACGCAAGAGGCAAAACGCAGGCCTCCGTGCACGCGAAACACCAACTATCCCACGCAATGTGGCGCGTGCTGCGGCTTGGGAGCCAAGAGCCCCCAGAGCAGGGCAGTGCCGCCCGAGCTGTCCTGAGACCCCTCCAGACCTCCCTGGCTCCCCAGGCTCCGAGCTCTTCTAGAATAGAGGCCTCCTAGATGGGGTCGGAGTAGATGGGGTCGGAGGATCGCGCCGCATCAGCGATGCATCGGCGGTGCACCGGCGATGCACCATCGACGTCGGCGATGCATCGGCGGCGTCGACGTGAAGCAAATCGGGCTCCACACCGAGCCTCCCCAGCTACCCGCCTCTCGGTTGTGCTGGGCCCGAGGGCCTCCCCGAGTTTCCGTGGCCACCGGGCTCGAGGCACTCGTGCGCACGGCTCCGCACCTTGTCGGCGCGCGCGGAGGGGCTTGCCCGTCGATGCTGCCGCCTGGCCGCCTGCCGCCCTCGCGGCCTTCGGCAGGGGGCGGCGGCCGTCTCTCGAGTCGGAGATCGCCTGCAGGATCGACGTGCCCCAAACTCGACCCGTTCGTCGAGTCTGCAAAGCGTGCGTATCGTGGTCGTAGACCTGGGAGCACGACACGCTCTGTTTCGCAGATCCGGCGAGCAAAACTCAACTGCGGGGTAGATCAGCTCTGCAGTGGATCCCCTGCTTACCAGCCTGGAACATATCCCTATCCCTATGCTGGGCATCTCCTCATCACGATGCCAATCTCAGGGATTCCCTTATTTTTTGAGGGCGCATCCCTAAGATTGTCATCGCCGTTTGGCGTGTCAATCTTAGGGATAGGGATAAGTTCGAGGCTGGTAACCTGCTCGAGTCTTGGCACCTTCTGGCACCTCCCGGCGCGCCCCGCGCGTGGGTCTCGGCTGCGGCGCGCGGTGCGGCGCAGCAGCGCCTGCGGCAGCGGAGCCCCGCGGCGCGGTGAAGGTGGCACACGATCGCTGATCCTCAGAGCGCGTGTTGCAGTCGGGACTGATCGGAGAGGACACGCGAGAGGACACAAGACCCTTCCGAGAGCCACAGTGCCACAGGAATGTGGAAGGCATGGGGCGCGAGGCACAGGACGGACACTAAGGCGCCCTTGATTTGGCAGGGTCGGCCTACTAATCAGCCTCGACTGTAGGTGACCGTTTTCCTATTCGGCGTTTCGACATTGGGCGGATGGGGGGGCGGTGGTTCTGGCTGGGAGCGGGGTTCTGGCTCCGGACCTCTGCTTGATGCGACCGTCTGTTTGCAGCAGTGCGTCCCTTGGGGGAGACTCCACCTGCTGGAAACAGGCGCCCAAAAACAGCCAAGGTCTAACCCCATGGGGGGGGGCGAGAAGAGGCGCGAGGGCCCGCGCCGATCGGCAAAACAATGAACAAGAAAGCGATCACTGGCGCCAACGTGTGCGTTGT